CTTAAAAATTATAATAATTTAAAAATTTAAAATTGACAGTCATTTAAATATGTGGAAATAGAAACTGTAACAGTGTCGCTGTCACTTGCATGCTCACAAATAAAAATTTTGACGTAAAGTATTATCTGAGACATTTAAATAAAAAATAATAAATGTATGTTTGCAAATATTATGACCTCGATTATACTCCTCAAGGCTGTGTGTCAATAAAAAATGATATTTAAATTGAAATTGTTTGAGCCTTGGTGGCGAAGAGGAAAAACGATGTATAAATAAAAATATAAATAAACGGCATGAAATGAATTAGCAGAAAAAAGGAGGGATAAAAAATAAAACTATATATCATGAGCACGAGCGACGAACTACCTAACCGGTAGGTATCTGCCGTCGTATTAAGCAAGTTAAACCAGTACAAAAGAACATTTACAGCTTATTATAGTCGTGTATAGTGTCGAGTGCAGAGCTACTGGAATTCGGAACGAAACAAAGAATAAAGTAAAAAGGAGCATAACGTATTCAGCGAAATTCCATCTCGTGCCGCCAGGCATCGTATCACAGATTCCAGGGACAGAAGTCGAGAATCGAGATGACCACCGTATGGTGGATAGTCCACACAGACCCAAGAGAAGAATAAGAATTCGAATTGAATGAATGAAATGAATCAAAAGACCTAACCAGAGATAACAGTGGCTCGTCGAGTCTGATCCAGATGTAAACTACAATATAATGGCTTGATGCCTCAATGCTGAATGCTGAGGCATCCCGGTACCGGTAAAAAGCCAAAACCAAGCTCAACACTACAAATTACGGGGAATACAACGAATCCGTGTAGAAAAAAAGTACAAATGATGTTAAGAATTAAGGCGCTGCTCGTATCGCGGAAGCGTGGGAACATGCATGCTCGAGACTTCCCAAAACAAAACACCAGACGAAGAGCTGCTAAACTAAACCGGGCACGCGACCCACCTGACCAACAACCTTTGTAGTGTGTTGTTGTGTGTTGTATACCATCATCAGCAAACCCAGCAGCAGCAAAATGAAGAAGAAGACCAACTTAGGCTGAGAAAAGAAGTTTATATTAGGCCCAGTAGCCGCCCCCGCCTGTGCTCGGTCCGCCACCGCGAGCGACTCGACGTTTATTTTGTTCATTCTCTTTTTCTTATTCTTCACTTGTTCACTTGTTGTACCTCTTTATTCATTGGTCCTCCTTCTCCTCCTCTGTTGGCAATGTGTTCCTCTGCAGTCTCAATGCTTCTTCCTCGCAAGCACACACGATAAGCATAAAAACTCTCTCTTTCTACCCTGACGAGGACCTGGACTGGGTTCTTCCCCACAAACGGTTTATTAAGTCGTTACCTCGGCTCGAGCACGCCCCCGCTTTAGTCCCCGCTGGATTCTCAACAACGCCGGCACGAGGCTCCAGATTTATTTCAGGCTTTTGTTCTTCATTCTTCGGTTGAAGATTCAATTTAATTTCGCTTAATTAATTGGACAATTTTTATCGAAATTTTGCTGATTAATTTTTTTTTTTTTAAAGTAAATTTTTAATTTAGAAAGACACATGATAGAGTTCCATGATATGAGTAGTTTAGAATGCTATATAGGTAATAAGGATAATAATCTCTTGACTGTTGACTCTTAGAATTTAAGAGGTTATAATGTAATGTAGCGCAAGTCGGTGGTGCTGTATATATCATAAACTTTAAACGTGAATGAACACGTATGTATATTTAGATTGATGTACACAAAGAAGCGAGTACTGTAGAAGAGAATCGGCGCACGTATGTCACACGTACGAGACTGCAATTTAAATAAGAAAATATGTCTATTATGTTGTTACAATAACGATATCAATTTATTTACTGTACACCGTGCGACTTAACTGGAAGGATTGTCTTCAAACGGCTCTTTACTACTTGATAAGACAACACTAATTTCATTCATGCTCTTACGCTCGACTCGACTCTTTTCTCGCTAACATACTACTAACATTATTATCATTGTTATTGCTTATTACTCACTCTCTTCTCAGGCTCAAGTTACGCCACTTATCCATCTGTATAATCTGTACTTTATTTTATCCTAAGAAATTATCCTTAACTACACGTCAAACTTTTTTACTTCCTTTTACATTTTAAATTATCTTATCCCGTATTATTACTTTTATTTTTTTAGGTAAGAATAATAAAAATAAAAATTCGTCATTCTCAGAATTTTAATTCGTTTAAATTCTCCGATTTTTATGTTCAAAATTTATAATTTAAAAAAATGTTTCTGATATCTCGGCATTAATTTTATGTAACAAAAATAGAATTAATTATTAATTAAATCAAATCTAAGCCGACGGAAGTGAAAAAATCAGTAGCGCTCATTATTAATATTAACGAAATCATATATTGGGTTAACCCTTTATTGCCAGCGTCTGGTGATGCTTATTCACGATAGAGACATCAAATTGTCAGTACACATTTATTAACCCCAGTTTGTTTATGACCGTGAAACCTTGTTATTTATTATATACAATACAGTGTACAGTGCTTTTTAATACTTTAATACATATATTTCATATCATACATAACAGCGTCTGTGGTGATATGAACACAACTGTTACATATGTTTAGAAGTCACTTACTCTTGTGTCACTACTCCTTTTTTATCATTTAATAACCTATATGACTATTTAATATTAAATAAATATTAAATTATGTTATCATAACAATGATATAATTATTATCATACTTTCATGTAGAACCGATTATTAATATATTTATTGAGCAACAGTTTCGGAGAAATCGCTTTATGCCGTTAATTATTTTTTCAACTTCTCGGTTACCGTAAAAAATTAGCGGTTGTGTTTATTAAAATTTTTTTAACACTTTTTTTTTTATTAAAACCATATGTTCTTGTCTCAGTAGATCTGTTTTTGAATTTATAGTTGTAACTACTGGTTTATTTTTATTTCGGAAGGCTATTAATTCAAGGATTAAAGGATTAGAAAGTTTTATATGCATTTTTAATTATTTATTTATCAAAGAGCATTTTTTTAAGTACCAAAATATGTACTTGTTTTACAATTCAATTTTTAACTTATACTTATTACTTATTTTAACATTTTAATAATAATTAAGATAATTAATCGACAATTTTCTATCGCACTTTTTTTCTCATCAAAATTATTTTATTTATCTAATATTCAAAATTTTTTACTTTAAAATTCTTCTATCAAAAGTTAATTTATTTATTAAGTTAATATACTAATGAGAATAAATAAAATTTTGACAAGAATTAGCGACAGAAAGTTGTCAATAGTTTAAAAATCAAATAAGTTTAAATTATACAATAATTAGAACTAAATTTTGACGTAACAATATAACAAAAAATGATTTATCTGAAATTGTTATTATCAATTTTTATTAATTACTGTTCTTATTAAAATTTATTATTCATTAACAGTAATAATAAATGATATTTAATATTTAACTAATAATCAAGGAAGTCATTTAATTACAATTTAAAATTTATTTCTAAAAAGGCACGAGCTTTTGCTTGTTTATATTTCTAAAACTCGAAATAAGGGGCTTTTTCATTATATTAATTAATAATAATAGTCATAATGAACACTAATAGAAATGACGTGAAAATTTGTACAAAGTCTTATATGAATCACAAAAGTTTCTTATACGAAAAAATACATCAGTTATTATCAGCAATCGATTTTTCATCAAATTCATTTTATAAGAACTATCTATAGCCATTCAATTTTCAATACAAAAAATTTTTCATGTGATGAATTAGTACACGGAGAGAAATTTATAGGAATCTTTCCAACAATTATGGGAATGGATCCTATAATAAAATTATCATTATAGGCATTAATCCTATACTCATTATGGGAACCATACCCATAATTTATTGGAAACGTTCCTATACAATAATGGAATAGCTTCAATATATTATGGGAATGGTTCCTATAATATTATGGGAATGACGCACACAATAATAGAAAAAAGTTTATTTTCTAAATAATGAAGCAATCACTTCAAAAATATAAAGTAATTATTAAGTATTTTTTTGATAATAAAATTTTTTTTTGTAAATAAAAATTGATCTTTCACTAGAGTAAAAAAATTTCTTTTTCATAATTTTTATTCACGTGTGTACTTAATCTTGAATTATTGATTCCAGCTCAGTTATTATTGTGTTAAATAATATTGAAAAATATTGTAGCAATTTCAAAGTTTCTCTAATAAAAAAGATATTTTTTCACTATACAATTGTAGGAGCAAAATAGATATGGAAATTCATTGTTTATTTCCACAATTTCATTTTATTTTTAAAGCAAATTATTTACAATACATACGTTGAACCGCGAAAACATTTGAAAATTTGGAATGTCAAAACAATTGGAAATTTTATTTTATTTAAGAAATTTTTTTCTACAGTAGAAATTTTTTTTTTAATTAACTTTTTTTTTAATTAATTTTATTTTCTAATTAATTTCATAATGATAATAATAATGAATATTATGACTGATAACTTTTTTCATCAATTTATATATTATAACAAAAGAATCACACTTAATCAAAAAAAATAAATCTAGTGAAAAGTAATTAATTAAATACCACAGTTGTGTGAAAAAAAATTACTCCAATATTATTGGCATCATTCCTATAATATTATGGGAATGGTTCCTATAATATTATGGAAACTATTCCTATATATTATGGGAATCATGCCGATATTACAGTTTTAATTATAGGTATCGTTCCTATAATTATAGGAACCATTCCCATAATTATAGTAACGTTTCCCAAAAATTATGGGTATAATTACCATAATTTAAGTAATCGCGCCTAAAATGGTATAGGAAAATATTTCATTAAAATTATAGGAATGATTTCCATATTTTTCTCTCCGTGTATAAATAATTAAATTTGTATAATTATAGTTGAAAAAAATTTTGAATGACCACAAATAGTTTTCACATTAAAAAAGAAATTTCAAATTGCTTCACTTTCAAGGTGCATCATCTCCCGGCAAAGTTTTTTGAGCAAAGTAATTCCCTCATCTCGATCATCTTCGTACTTGTTTTCCCAAGCGTCAATTAGCATATTGTAATACCTCGGCACATCGAATAAATCTAAGTAATGAGACGAATGTTTTGCCGGGAATATTCTTTCGAATTTATCAGTCTGGGTGATTTCGTCTTCATGATGTATCAAACACCTAAGGTCATCCGGCGTCAAATCTTCAAGTATGTCATCCAAGTAGTCCTCTCTGTCCAAATTGATGTACAAATTCTGCTTTTGTTTTTCTTCATTCGACAGTACCAACTTGTCAAGCACCGGAAGCTGGCAAACGAGATCCTCATAGTCATACAACGATCTCAATTTTTTAATTTCGCGTTTTGGGAGACTACCTGGCAGTCGATAGCCGACAATATTGAATACATTTTTTATCATCGGGCCCTTTACCGCGATGTCCAGCGCCGATGAAGATTGCAAGGACGGTGATACATTGAACTCTAGCAACCAAGGCTTGTAAGACTCATCCAGCAAAATGTCCACGCCAAACAGCTCAAAACAGTTATAACGATTCGAGGTATTTATTTTCGTCAATGAGTTTATGGGCGACTCCGTCGAGATGATTGTTTTGATAACAATGTCCTTGATGGAGGTCCAAATTTTTCTGGTATTGACTCCCTTCTTCTCCAAATACGACCACAAAGTTTTGATGGTCCACTTATGGCCACTGCAGGAATCGGCGCAGTCGTTACTCGTGTAGTTTGAGCTATTTTTATTAATACTGTAGTTTGTTAGATGCATGAGACGATCGCTGAGGTAGTTTATATCATCGCTGTACTTAACAGAGGCAAAACGCACCAGTCCGTCGGGATAAATGTATATCCTCAGAGGATTTATGCTCGAAATAAGAACGTACAAACGTAAGTCAAATTTAGCCCCGTCGATTAGAAGAGGCTTCGACAGATACTGTTGAACAATCAGCGGGCGTTTTTTGGGAATCTGAGACCAACGATGGACGACACGAATCCCCGTTCCACGCGCTGAAGCCGGTGGTTTTATAATCCACTTTTCTTTGCCACCACTCTTTTCCCAAACCTGACGGAAATTACGCAAGTCCTGGGGCAACACGTAAGTGCGCGGTACAAAGTTAAACTCTTTCTTGCCGTACTTGCTCATGAATCTACTGAGATTGCGCCACAGACGGTCTTTACGCCCGAGCTGGAATGTACCCGGAAAATGATTGAACTTCTGGTGGTCCTTCAGCGACTTAAAGCAATTTGACTTCATCTGTTTCCCCCAAATAGCCACCCAGTCGTCGGGATTTTTCAGCAACCGAAATCCTGAGTTCATCACAGTTTTTCTTACCAGTATCGGCGTTATGCAGCTCAGCTTCCACTTGAGATGCTTCACCAGCGAGGATGGAAGCTCATGTCCAGGAGAATCGAACGCATTAAATATGATATACGGCGGTACGAAGGGAAACAAACTGCGACGCAAAGGAAATTTTCTGATGTCTTCCGTCGACTCGGAATCTGTAATGGTGGGTATCGACTCGCTTCTGTCCGGCGTCTCATCCTGAGTGTCCTCCTCGTCAAAATCTGGATCGAGGTCTATTTCTTCTTCGAGGTCTAATTCATCTAGATTATTGCTTTCACTGTTGTCGTTGCTAGTACTATTGCTATTACTATTGTTATTACTATTAACTAGTTCGTGATGATTGTAGCTACGTGATATTACGTCCATGATTGTTATCAATATCGATATCGAGGTATATTCTTTACAAATGAATTTACCAAAGCTTCAACTGTGTCAACTGTGAGCGACTATCAAAACAAATGACGAAGCATACTTGATTAATTTATACTCACTGTTTCAACTTAAATATGTATCGAGGAACTATTGAAAATCTGTTTACCTTTATGAAGTAGCTGGATAAGTCAAGGGTAAGAGCTTGGCATCTTATGATTGTTCAGCTGCTGATAACTGTAACAGATAGAATAACAGAAATGAAAAATAAATTTATTGTTTGTAAAATACATAGTGAATATATAAATTTGTAGTAAATCTTATTATTATACAGTTCAGTGATCTTGAAAATAACAATTGGTAAAAGAAGCTATTGTAATTGACAAAAATATTAAGAGTTATTTCTTATCTATATTTGTTTCGATTGATTAAATGTAAGTAAAGAATTGGTGAGCAAATACATGTGTATACACGATTATTAATAAAAGTAATAATAATTTTGTAATAATGATAATAATGAATTACATTTATAATAAATTTAAATAAAATAACGTATTGTTAATTAAATGTGGTTTTATGTTTACTTAAATTTAAGGGATTATATCATTGCAATGCTGATTTAAGTGCATGTAAATACTTTTGTGCTAATATTATGTGGATATTTATTAATTTTTATTTAGGTGGATGAAGGCCAAGAATTTGGAGTAATTTATGAGAGCATGATAATCGACACACTCTGCTAAAGAAGTCCATTGCATAAAAATATTTCAATAAATAGTTTGATTAATAATATATTAATAATAATGAAAATTATCAGGAACTTGGATGTAATTATTGTAATTTTATAACTTATTATTGTTGACTAATTTGTTTAAATGGAATGGAAATTGACTAAGTTTTCTTAATATTATGGTTACCACTTGTTCAACTTTATTTATATATTGTAAAACGATGAAATTTTTCGGAGTTTATTTTGAGATACAACAGTGTTAACCTTAAATGTAAGATTTTTTAATATTTATCTTTTTGTTATCCTTGTCATATTGTTATTAACAATGTGTTTTCTTTTGTACAGTTTGCCTGATGAAGTTGTGAAATACAACGAAACGTTGCAACATTTAAAAAATTTGACACTGAGTTATTTTTTATAGTCCAAGTTCCTGATAATTTTCATTATTGTTTATAAATCATGGATGATAATCGTAGTCATAATAATATATTAACTATATTATTAAGAGAATAAGATAAATTTTGTGTACAGGATAGTCAAATGATAAAAATCGTTTTTTTTTTAGTGAAATTTAGTGTCATTGCAAAGAAAGGTCTTGACTTGAATTTGTGCCTTTTCAAAGTTTCATATCATTCTCACCGATAGTCAATTTATTATAATAAATATTTAGATTGCATAAGAAAATGCTATTTCGATAAATACATAATTAAGAAATTACCTTGTATCTTGTTAACTATTGATATTTTTGAATATATAAGCTCACCCCGACATTACATTCATCAAGACCTTTCATTTGAGTACCCACATCAATTTTTCATATATTTATATATATATAGTATATATAAATATATGAAAAATATATCAAAATGCGTGTGGGTACTCAAATGAAAGCTCTTGATGAGTGTAACATCAAGATGAGCTTATATTTTTAAAAACGTCAATATTTAAGAAAGTATAGTGCAATTTAACACAAGTCATTATTTAATAAAGCAAAATTTTTGAAAAATATAGATGACGGCGACTGAATATTCTAAAGTATTAAAAGATGAGTATATTACTATTAATATAAAATGAATCCACTGCTGCATAAGAGATTAATTTATCTAGGCATTAATCACTCAATTGAGTGTGCCAGACGTGGTAATTGACTACCTGTGTTATCATTATTATTAGTATATGTACGTACTACGTATGTACATTTTAATAGAAATTTATATATTATCATCATTATGAATAATATAATAGAATACTTAACTGTATACAAGTTATCACTACTTACAACTTACAACTTATGACTAATTAAAGTGACAAGTGATAGGAATGAGGTTTTAATGATTTCGGAAATTATAATGATTACTTAAATTCTATAAATAATAAATAAAAAATGGTTATGGTTATATTTAACGAATATTTTATTCAAAAATAATAATCAGTGTTTTTTAAAAATGTGGATTTTTTTTTTATCAAATCAATATATAAATGTGGTAAGGCTAAAAAGCTTCTTAAACATAACAAGTTAACTTCTATAATATTATATTTTAATATTTTATTTTATATGAGAAAATAGTAATCTCAGGTACGAAAAACCCTATCACAGACATTACTTAAAGCTTCATCACCCATACAATATTTTAATATTTTAAAAATCAAAAAAACAATTATTCATAATCAATGAAAGCTAACATCAATGAACAATGAAAAAAAATTTTAATAAATTTATACTAAAATGAAATAATTAAATCACGAAATTGCAAGAAAATTAATAACAGAATTGGAAGACGTTGATTTGTCGCTTAACAATTAATTTTAAATCTTTATAAAATAAATGATAATAATTTTAATTATCTTTTTATATTATTTATTATCCCGGATTGGAGCAGCAGTTGTTGTCCGGTTATTTCAAGTTGCAGCGCTTTGCCCGTCAGCCTTATTGGTACCACCAGCGTATCCCAGTCGCAGTGGATCCTTGGTATCATCATAAACTTAATCAGTAATAACAAATTTATTACCGAAATAAATTATTCACCATGGACGCCAGACGGATGTTGATTCACTGGAGTCACCTGAGGAGCTCGCGACGCTCATTGGACTTTGAGGCGGAGTGTAGACATTTTGTGGTACCTTGGTGATGACAGTCGTAGTATTCGCAGGAATAACTGCAGGAGGAAGCTGCTGTTGGTGATTGTGTTGATGATGCTGCTGCTGCTGCTGTTGAACCACCGGAGTGGATTGTTGGTGAACGGCGTTGGGGTTGACAGGTCCTTCCAGCCGACGGAGGCAGCCACCGAGATGGCGAATGAGCTGAGCACCGGCCACTGGGTGAACACTGGTCACTGTTGTTTGCAAAAAAGTAGAAACTTCCTGAGCGCACTGGGTGAATCCTTCGCGAAACTTGTCTGCGTAGGTATTTTCAGGAGTGAGAGTCAATCTTTTGGCGGCTCTCAGCGAGTGAAGGTGGCGAACTGTCAGCTCGAGGATGTCGGCCTTCTCGAGTTTTGCGACGTTCTCACCCTCAGCTTGAAGCGCATTTACCATCAGGTCCTTGAGTTCGTCCAGGCAGCGGTTGATCCTGGCCCGACGTTTGCGCTCCAACATTGGCTTCATTACTTTCCGGTACTGGTAAGTTCTGGACACCGGCTCTTCGTACTCCATTCCACCAGCAACTGCGTAGGCGGTAGTGTGTGGAGACATATTGTTGATTAACGTTAAAAGTTTTTTAAAATTTCAAATAAAAAGATAAAAATCAAATGATTGATTATCACAAACTGACACTCTGATTATCACAATCTCCGAAATAAACAAAGTGGTTGTTTTTTTTTTTATAACGAGAGATAACTTGCTAGCTCGGAGTGCCGAGTATATCTGAGTGGTTTCTGGCTTAGTGGGGGCCTTATAAGGGTATTTATACCCTCTCCAAGAGTACAGTTCCCCACTAGTCGGGATTTGAATCCCCACTGCTGTCGAGTTAACTGAATTGAAACGGGGCTGCCTTAGTAACGGATGAGTGCATGAGAGAGACAAGAGAGGGGAGTTAAGAATGAGCATGACTGCAAGCTGTGTGTTGGTCGTGTATAATACGTATTGTATGTATTATGTGTATGTGAAGAGGGTCCTGGTTGTGTGGTACCTCAGCACAGCTACCAGCCGGAGGAGCGTATCGTGGGAAGCTCACGGGACGAAATGTTCCCACAGCTCTCGGTCGTCGTTGCCTGCTGGGCCGTGGCGTGCCCAGTGGGGGAATTTAACAGCGATACACACCTGCACCCTTACTTGCTATCTCCATCCTCCTCGTTTGCTCACTGTCACGTTAGTTAGTGCCTTATACAATACACAATACAGGAGTATAACTATGTTATGGATACAGATACAAATACAGATACAGATTCAGATCGGAGTTGGTAGTAATTTTGTTTGATTGTGTTGAGTTAGTCGCGTATATATTTATAATAATAATAATAATAATAATAATAATAATAATAATAATAATAATAATAATAACAACAACACAATACGACTACACGACTAAGCAGCGAGCTGAGGTAGTGTGAGTAAGGAGCAAAGGGAAAGATAACTCAGGAGCGAGCACACGCCACGACGCGCGACCAGCACGAGGATGGCGTGCTCTCAGAGCTCTTTTCCTCTCTTCTAACTCTTTGCTTCTTCCTGTTCTGATCCGCGATCCTCTTGCACCTCTTATTCATCTCTGCTGGTCTCGTCTCACATTGGTATTGAGGAGGATGCTGCGTATAGGTAATATTATATGGCCTGCGGCTCTTTACGCAGTCTCTTGATCGTTCTCTCTTTTTGCCAACTACTCAGCTGCTGGAGGCTGGAACCTCATCGGCTTAGAGTCCAAGTCCAGTCTTATGGACACTTGTCGGCACCACCGCGATGTATATACCGGTATATATCACACGTGCATACTACTCGCGAGCACCGTAATTGCGATCTCGTGCTACCGTGTCGACGGCTACTCCTCTTACACTCTGACGATCACTCGAACACTCACGAGACATATTTACCGAGCATTTAAATATGCATTCAAGGCCCACTGTGCATGTTAACTCTCTCTGACACCTATACGTATTTTCTTATTATACGTCTAAATATCTTATGAGATTTTGATGAGCTTGATGGGACTGACGCTGTCCAATTTTTGATTGACGAGGATTGCTTTCATTATAATTTATACATTTTTTAGGTAATAACTTTCATTAAAGTGTCTTGGATTAAAAATATATGTAATTTTTTAGGAATTTAAATTATAATTTTAAAAAATTATCGATTTATTATTGAATTAAAATTTTTCGCATCTATTTGAACTTATTAATAATTTAAAAAAATTTTATTACACTTCAGATAATATTAAAATAAATACAATAAACTATAAAAAGAACTTAAACTATTTTTAGATATTTAAATTTTCACCTTAATTAATGAGAATGAAATAAAATCGTAAGGTTTAACGAGGAGGATATTAAATAAACGTTAAGTAAAGTGGGTTATATTTAATGAGTTGTTATGTTTCGGTTTTTAATCTTCGTTGCCTCAGTGCTGGTGGTTATCCTGGCGCTGACAACGGGACTGGTTGCGGTGTGTTTTACTCTAACGAGGTGTTTAGGCCCTCTTTGGAAAAGACACACAATCGAGCCGAGTTCCTGGCGTTTTTCAATAATTTTTTAAAATCGCCGAGTGTAAGCGGTAAGTCCAGAAGAATAGAAGAATATAAGAGGAGAGTAAAATAAAAAGATGAGAAAAATGTTGAATTTTTTTTTACGACCCCCGAGAGGTACGAGATGCCTCGGATCAGAGAATCGGTCGGCGATGTTCAAGTTGGCTCGCTACCCCGGTGATTCTGTAATGAGACACGACCCAGCGTGCTGCAGGAACTCTATAAACTCGCCGGCTTCGGGACAGGGATAACATGTAGATGTGGATAGATGAATTTTTATTGCCCTACCGGTATTTGACCTACCTCATATCCTCTGAATCTAATACTCTCCTCAATAAATAACAACTCCCAGATCCACCGACTCATCCATCAAAATATTTCCAATTATGCCTAAAATACAAAGCCTTATGATAAACACTACACTGAACAGCCACAGGATGTAGCTTCATAAGTCAATTTTACACTCGCTGTACCATGTCATTAAATCTCCATTATCTCTACTCATATTAATAAGCTTTTTTTTTTTCTTTCTTTCAAGCGTACGATAACGTAAAAACTATTATATTAAATACCATTAAATTTTTGTTTCGGAGAATAATTTTATCGATTTCTTTAAAATATTTCTTTTATTGAAAATCAAATGATATTAAATAAATTTTTTTTGATTAATTATTTAAAATTTAATTTATACAATGTATCTAAATAAAATTGGCTGGAATGTTCCTCCAATATAACTACATCGATACTTATAAAAAGAAAAATTTCACTAAAATCAACTCAACTCCCAAGAGAATCAAGGTGTCAAAAATTGAAACATTCTTATTCTTCAAATGACAGTGACTTGAAACTTTAAAAAGATTTTCTTTATACAATCTGATATCTTCTAAGTCCCATCTTAATCTAACACATCAATTTTCACGAAAATCTACTCCTACCAGTTGAACAAGTTTTACAATCAAGTATCAACTCTCAAGAGGAAAAACGGAAGTCCCAAGACACTTGTATTTTTATAAAGTGAATAAAAGTTTCATCTCATCCAAAAACATCAACATTAATGTGTATTTTAAATGAAAATTCCAAAAAATCATTTAAACTATGACCAAATTTGTGTAATAATTATTAATGATGATTACCAAGAAGCGGAGAGTAAGAGCTAGAACACGAACATGTAAATATTATTACAGTATGATCTAATTCGTTACATAACTACCTTTTTTTTTCTCACTTGAATTTGAAGCCCTAACAAAAGGATATAATAATTATTTTAATGTTAATTTCATCATCATTATTTACTTTCTAGATTCGCCAACTCACAACAGCAGCAGCAGCAGCAACAACAACAACAACAACAACAACAACAACATATAAAGAAGATGCTGAGTGTGAGGTATATAAAAACTCCCCAGGAGCTTGATTAGAAGCCACGAGGAATGAGTTAACGGTGCAAACATCGTCGGGGTCCAATGCTAATTCGAAGCGTGCCTCAGCAGGCGCCTTTCTCTCTTTTTAATTTCAAATTTTATTTAAAAACTTTTGTTTTATTCATTTATTTAGCGAGTAGCCATAAAATATAAATAACTCTTTCTCTTTTTGCCTCGGCAAAAAACTCTTCAGTAAGTTCAAAGTCTCAGTCTTGGTCTTAGCCTGTCTAGTGATGTAGAAGGTATTAGTATAGTTAAAAGCATGCGAACGGAGTAAGCAATAGTACCAGAATCTAAGTAGTATACAGGAGTTCAGTTGCCTGTTTCTTTAGCACGAAGTAAAAGATTATTCTAAAATATATATTCCTCGTTGGTCTCGCTTTATCTTAAGTTAACTCAAGTTGGAGTTGTGCGCCGGCTGTAGCTGGTAATGATGACGGTAGATGGTAGTGGCTTCCTCTATAATAATACTACAACTACTTATACTGTGGGCTCCGAAATTCCATGGGTGTACTGGCTCGTTGGCTCGTGCTATAACAGAACGTGGGAATATTCCCAGGCTTCGTTCCACCCCGATGATGACTGTGAGGGGCATCGCCAGACACGCATACATTTACACTACCATTCTCTACTTATATATGATATTATATTATATTATATTATATTATATTATACTGTGTGGCATACAATCTACGAAGCCGATTGTGCAGCCAACCGTGAGTCCTCTCTCATTTTTACCTACATCACATCACTGTTTTGCTTCTCTCTTCACTTGGTTATGTATTTATATTATATTATACACAGAAATGAGCGAAATGAAAGAAGAACTGCTTACATATATACACCAGTAGTGTTAGTTTTTGTGGATGTAGTTGTAGATGTGATTTACTAGCAGGCTGATACCTGAGGCTGTGTGTTGAAGAGAGAAGAATACTTGTGTGTATTGGACCGGGATTGGGGATAATGTTACCTCTACTGAGTGAAGACTATGACGACTGTGACGACGACTATACCCATAATGTCAAGCTATTGTCAGTCGCACGGGCCATATTCTTGGAGAACAAGAATAACAAGTATGACGGTAGCTACCATCTTTGTTGGCAAAGTGAATTACAGCAGTGGTTATCCTAACTTTTCTGTCTCTTAAAATGTCCCTACTTTTACGGAGTGCTTACAAAAAATCACTCGGAAAAAAAAAATTCCCGGTTTTATTTTTTCCTTTCATCAATCTTTTATTTAATCGCTGTTTTTTTATTAAAAAGTTTAATTTTATATTTTATCTTGATGGCATTTGCATGATCCCAAGTCAAAGAACCGCGTTATCCTTCTCAACATTTTTTCGTATTTTTTGGATTTTGTTTATTATGTTATGTTATTATTACAACTCTGATGGGCTCTCAGAGTATAACTAAAGCTAGCAAGAGTATAAAGTATAAGTAGTTTAAAGTTAGCTTACGCTTCCAGCATATTAGTCTGGTATGGCGTTCTCATTATTACTTATTCCACTACACCGCGTGTGTTTACGATTCGCCCATTATCCGCACGCTTCCGTTCGGGCTGATGGGATTGCTGTTTGACAAGAGTCCATTACCTTGGGT